ATTTTTTTTTTTTTTTTTTTTTTGCTTCCTGTAGTGCCCTCTCATGCTTTGATTTATTTTTACTTTTTAGGATCAGTAGGAATTCATCGAGTCTTCTTGTTCTTTGATTCCCATGTTATAATCCATTGCCAGTATTCAATCTGACACTCAAGTAGTCCCAGATTTAGCTGTCAGGGAGCCCCTTTCAGTCTGGCTTTTGTGTCGTGTGGTGCAACCCCATGATTTTTTGAGCATTTCTTCACCCCTGCCCTGACGCCGTATTTTCCTCTCCCTGATCTCACCAGCCACAATGACTTAACACGCGCTCATCTGGTCAATCGTGCAGCACAAAATAACTCTAGCATTGCGGCACCTGCTACCACTCTTCACAACCATGTACTAAGTAAGCTTCAACATTTCCAAGCAGCTCTTTTTATTCCTAGACAATATCTCTTTAAGAGGCAGACATTCAGCATATTTGGACTCTTTTTTCTCTTTCAGTTGTCAATTTAACATACAAATTTTCTTTTTCTGTTTGTGTTCAATTTTATGGTTTTTCCCCATCATTGTTGGTTACATATAGGAAACATTTAACATGATGCAAAAGTCAAAGCTATATGAAGATGTTTGTTTAGAAGTCTTACGCCCCTTCCCATCCCTGTAGGTAAACGGCGTTGTCATTTTTCAGTTTCTAATTAGCTTCTGCAAAGGCATCCATCTTCTAAACAACCTAGAAGGAAAGGAAGACACCTTTGGGAAATGTACGATGGAGAGTAGAAATCAAATTTTGATAGCAAAAAATATCTCTGAGAAGAGTCTACTTCTACATATTTGTGGTGTTTTTGTTTTTGCTATTGCTTAAAAAAACATAGTCCTGATCCAATCTTAAGTTCTGTCATCTGTGCACATGGATGGTTTAGAATGGTAACACACCTTTACTTTATGTGTATCTTTTCTCCCAGGATATTACAGTCGTGTCTCCGGAAAGAGTCCTGGTGACCCAGCAAAACCAGTTTCATCTCCCAGAGAATGGGATCCTTCACATCCTTCCTCCACAGACATGGCCTTAGTACCTAGAAATGACAGCCTTTCCCTGCAAGAGACCAGTAGCAGCAGCTTCTTAAGCAGCCAGCACTTTGAAGACGATGACATTTGCAACGTGACCATCAGTGACCTGTACGCAGGGATGCTGCACTCCATGAGCCGCCTGTTGAGCACAAAGCCATCAAGCATCATCTCCACCAAAACGTTCATCATGCAAAACTGGAACTCCAGGAGGAGGCACAGAGGTAAGAGCAGGATGAACAAAACGTATTGCAAAGGAGCCAGACGTTCTCAGAGGAGCTCCAAGGAGAACTTTGTACCCTGCTGTGAGCCTGTGAAAGACACAGGAGCAATCAGAGATTGCAAGAACGTATTAGATGTTCCTTGCCATATGACAGGTTTAAAATTGGAAAAAGCTTTTCTTGAAGTCAACAAACCCCAAATCCATAAGTTAGATCCAAGTTGGAAGGAGCTGAAAGTGACACCCTCGAAGTATTCTTCCTTGATTTATTTCAACTCCAGTGCAACGTATAATCTTGATCAGGAAGATAGATTTAGGACATTAAAATGGTTAATTTCTCCTGTAAAAATAGTTTCCAGACCAAGAATACAACAGGGCCATAGAGAGAACCGTCAGAGGGAGATTGAAACGCGATTTGATCAGCTTCATCGGGAATATTGCTTGAGTCCCAGGAACCAGCCTCCCCAGATGGGCCTCCCAGACTCCTGGGCCATGAACGTGTACAAAGGGGGTCCTGCGAGTCCTGGTGGCCTTCAGGGCTTAGAAACCTGCAAGCTGAGTTTACCTTCCAGCAAAGCAAAAGCAAGAAGTTTAAGCGAGGCTTTTGAAAACCTGGCCAAAGGATCTCTGAAAGCGGGTAGGTGCCTGCCCAAGAGCAATTCTTCTTCACTTCCAAAGGCCAACCCCACACACAGCCCAGCTCGCCCGCAACAGACCTCTGATCTTCACGTTCAAGGGAACAGTTCTGGAATATTTAGAAAGTCAGTGTCACCCATCAAAACTCTTTCAGGCCCAGATAAAGAAGTGCTAGGCCACAGAAGGAATCGTTATGATGAAATTAAAGAAGAATTTGACAAGCTTCATCAAAAGTACTGCCTCAGATCTCCTGAGCAGATGAAGGCGCCTTCATGTATTGGAGTGTCTACAGGTAAAGCAAGTATGGAAGTTCGGTATCAAACAGAAGGCTTCTTAGGAAAATTAAATCCAGACCCTCACTTCCAGGGTTTCCAGAAGTTGCCATCATCACCCCTGGGGTGCAGAAAAAGTCTACTGGGCTCAACTGCAATTGAGGCTCATTCATCTACATGTGTTGCTCGTGCCACCAAGAGGGACCATCATTTCCCTGCAAAAAGACCCAGGCTGTCAGACCCCCAGGGCTCTGGATGCCAGGCCAGTTCCCAGGGTGCCTCAGATGGGGTAGTCAACATCGTAAGACCGGGAGACCAGGGCAGCTCTTCACAGCCCAACTCAGAAGAGAGGAAGGTGCGTTTCTGTTGGTTGAACGTGGGTGTTTTATGTGAGTGACTACTCTTTGGACAGAGGGTTTTTATGGTAGGAACCTTTGTGCCACTTTTAGTGAATCTCAACCGAATTCTTACATTCGTGATCATTTTCTGAGCATTCTCCCAAATGCTTTCCCTTCCTGTAAAATCGTCTATATCAAGAACATGTTCCTGTGTAAGATGCATCGAGGTTGAGCAGAATATGCTCTTGCAGAAGTTTCACACGCTTTCCATTAGAATGCATTCAGAGGTGGTTTTCTACAAATCCTCACTTGCTACACTTTGTTCGTCTTTGTCGAACGTTGATTTCTAACCTCTTCATCTGACGCTCAGAAAATAGCGTTGTAAGGCAAAAGTGTTCTAAAACAAATGACTTCCTGTCTATTTCGGGATTCCTGGTAGGGACAGAGCAAGAGTGGCCTGGGAGAGCCATGAGCATAGCATTCTCACAGGTGTGAGCGGTGCCCTGCAGATGGTCTCAGTGCTCGGTGTGAAAACCTCTGCACCTCGCTCTGCAGCTTCGTTTGTGCGAATCATGTCAGCTAGAGTTTGAGTCTGTGTGTGCCCTTTTCTCGAGCGACAGTGCGGTGGGGTAGGTCAGTGTGAGTGGGTACCTTTGTTGGCATTAAGGCCTGGATTCCCCAGCACAGCTTGTCTGTGTGTCCACAGCCAGGATCTAGAGGATGCGACTTTTTAAGCTCAGTGCCACAGCTCACCCACAGGTGGACAGGACTTGACTGTGGGTTTGATTTGGCCAGTTCCTTTGGGTTTTGTGTGTTTGTGGTTCCAGCAGGTGAGGCTGTGTCTCCAGTATCCTCTTCCCTTGTGCCCTACCCTGGCGATGTGCCTTTTTGAGGTCATTTGCGTGGACGCTGCCTGCCATAAATGTCCCATTTTCTGTTTCTCCCACCTGGGCCCGCCTGGCCTGTGAGCCCTTCTCAGCCGCTGGCTCCTGCCATCCGTCCAGCTCAGAACCAAGGTCTGGCATGCCTTGTTCCTTCTGTGGCACCTGCCTTCACGGCCTGCAGTGCGGCCTGTGCATGGCAGAGACCACACTCTCAGACCACCAGCGGCCTCCTGTGACTTGAGCCGCCTGACGCCTTTCTCACTGTGACTCTGTCTTCCCAATGCCCTTGGACTGCTGCAGGGCCACCCGCTCCAGGGTCTGCTGTGGGACAGCCCTTCCCTTCCAGGGAACTTCCACTGGCATTCTCCCGCTACTACCTGGTTCTTTGCTATTGCATCCCCCGACGTCCTCCCCAGACTCCACCCACCGCTCAGCTGCCTGCTCCGTGCAGGTGACCCCCACCCTCCCAGCACATGGTGGGTGCTGCAGTGAGGAGCTGTCTGGACACGGGCCAGTCTCGTAGGTTAGCAGCTCAGGCTCCTTGGCTCAGTTCTAGAAGCTCCCAGGTTTTGTTGGGTGTTTTGGTTTTCAAAGTTATTTTCATGTATAAAGTCATACTGTGTGAACTAACCAGGAGCAGATGAAACAAGCCCTCTGTTGTCATCTGTCTTCCCAGTTGAGGATGGACATTCATATGTGTTCAGGTGATGGGAAGGGTTTTTCTCTGCAGGGCCCGGCTAGGGTCAGGGGGCACTGTGTGGGCAGGGCCCGCGGAGCTCCTCCCCTGGCAGTGCCTGGCTAACAGCAGAGTCTTTCCCTCAGGTCTTGGTCTCCAACTGTGTGCCTGATGCCCCATTCCTGTGCCCACATGGCTTTTTCAGAACAAACCACCGGCTGGGTGGCTTTGAGCCCCAGTTAGTGAAGCCTTCGAGAATCTCAGCCGCATCTTCATGGCAGACACTTCGTGGAGGCTGCTTTGAGAGCGAAGCTTATGCGTTCTGTTTAACAGATGACCTCTCAAGAGTCTCTTTCTCAGTTGAAAGGGGAGCATTTCACCAAAAACAACTCTCCGGCCCAGAGAGTGATCTGAGGTTTCTCCTGCCTCCTGCACATCAGAGCTCCTCTGCTCTGCTCGCCCTGCTTGTCTAAACCTAACTGTGTTTTCTCAGGTAGTGCCCCAGCTCTTCCTTTTACCATCATCCTGCCCCTGGGATTCTGTCTCGTGCCTTTTCCCACCTTGTTCTGTGATCTGCTGGCACCGTGCCCGTCGCCTGCAGACCCCTTTCCATGTGTGATGTCCTGTCCCAGTGCTCCGTGCAGAGGCTCCTGTCTTGTTTTTTCACCTGCTCAGCCTAAAGGGCTTTCTTCTGGCCCAGCCACACAGGAGGGACCTTGGCCTTGCGGAGAATGGTGTGAGGCTGCATTATTGTGGGGCTGGGGAGTAGACCATCCTGAGGACTTGACCCTTGGTGGCCCAGCAGGGCGCTCCCAGCTGCCCTGGAATTTGACAGCAAGTCAAATCATGAGCACCCCAGGTTTTGTTTTAAACCACAGTATAAACATGTTTAACTGGTTTCCTATGTTTTTCTGCTTTTCTGCTTAAATGATAAATTTCTTGAGGAAAGAGACCAAATCTTCATGAGCTACAACTACATATGGAGTTTTCATGCCTAACATCTCAGTGCTCTCTGTGTGCCAGGTCATGCTGAACCATTTTTACGCCTTATCTTCTTTAATCCCCACCAGAACCCCTTAATTAGATCGATTCTGTCCAATAGGCAGGCTGTCTCTCCTTTTAATAGATACAGAAAAGTAGCTTAAATCTTAGAGCTCCTAAATTCACTCGCGCAGCGGCGCTAGCTGGGCCAGGGTGTGGGATGTGGACTTCCCCACCAGCTTGTGCTCCCTGGGGGAGTGTGGGGGGCGGCGTGGGGGGGGTCGCCATTATATTTTTGTTGTTTCTTTAATATAACTTACTTATTTAACGTAATTTTCTGTAAGTATTTTTATACATGCAATGGAATAAGTGGAAAACAGTTAACCTTTTAGTGGCTGGCGTTGGGAATTCTACTAGAATTTTGCTAACATCAGTTTGTCTTTTTTTTTTTTTCCCTAGAGGAAAGAACACGTCTTACAGGATGGAAGAGAAGTGATTTTGTGCTAGAAAAATCAAAACTAAAAGTGTGCAGCTAGGTAATTTTGAGTGTTATTTCTCTTCCCACTTGCTCTCTGTTTGTATTTTTGTTTTTAATTCTTGAGACTGTGAGGACTTGGTTGACTTCTCTGCCCTTAAAGCAAATATTAGTGAAATTGGCTCCATCAGAGATGACCCTCGAGTTCTTGGTGTAGAAATTATGTGAATAAAGTTGCTCAGTTAGAATTCTTAGGGTTCTCTTTGATAGGCCTGTTTTTCTAATGTGTGCGTTTTTGGGGGGTTTTGTTTGTTTGTTTTTGAGACAGTCTCTCTGTCGCCCAGGCTGCAGTGCAGTGGCGCGATCTCAGCTCACTGCAACCTCCGCCGCCTCGGTTCAAGCGATTCTTCTGTGTCAGCCTCCCAAGCAGCTGGAATTACAGGCGCACACCACCACGCCTGGCTAATTTTTGTAGTTTCAGTAGAGACATAGTTTCACCATATTGGCCAGGCTGGTCTTGAACTCCTGGCCTCGTGATCCACCTGCCTCAGCCTCCCAAAGTGCTGGGATTATAGGTGTGAGCCACTGCGCCCAGCCATGTGTTCTTTTTTAAATTTAGATATGTCCAGAGAATTTCCTGTTTCCCATGTCATTTGAGAGTATTGTTTGCTTGTGAGACGTAAGTTTGAGCTCTGCATGCAATGACCCTTGAGGAAAAATTAACAGTCCTGGTGGTCCCAGACACTCCTGCAGCCACAGCACTTGTGACTCCTCACGATTCTTATTGAAGCTGTTGATGACAGGATATCATGGTGACGTTTTTGTAGTGAAATAGTTCACATATTCAGAATACACTGGTGAAACTCATGCTGGCGTAAATAGTTAATATGTTGCCATATGAGTTTGGGGTTGCTTTTTTATGAAAGATTAAAAATGAGATTGAGGTACACATTTTTCATTCCTGCCTGCCTCCCCAGGTGATTACTCTCCTGATGTCCGATATCACCTCCCTACCCCACCCCATATCCCTTCCCCCCTACGTCTTACCCTGGGACCACGTTATGTGCGTGTATATGCGCGTGTGCACGCGCGCACGCCTGCGTCCTCAGGCTGCTGTAACAAAATGCTGGAGACCAGGTGGCTTCAACAGTAGAAATTTATTTTCTCACAGTTTTTGGAGACTAGAAGTTTAAGACAAGGGAGCCAGCATAGTTGGGCTCCGGTGAGGACTCTTCGTGGCTTGCAGAAAGCTGTCTTCCTGCTGTGTCCCCACGTGCTGGAGAGAGCAAGGTCTCTGGTGTCTTAGGAGGGCACTAATCCCATCATAAGGGCCCCTCACTCAGGACCTCATCTAAACCTACTCACCTGCAGAAAGCACCATCTCCAATACTACCATCATGCCAGGGGCTAGGGCTTAATCATATGAACCTGAGGGACCCAGTTCAGCCCACAGCCTGTGAGTCAGTAAGGAGGGTGCACGCTGTTGAGAGCTGAGAACCGGGCCAGGTGCTGCAGACCTCACAGACGGCTCATTTCCTCAAAGAACAGGCCGGCAGTGTAATGCTGGCTCAGGCTGGGCCAGGGCCAGAATGGCCCCTATAGATCTAGAGCCTTCCCTCAGGCCTGCTGCTTCCTAAGGACAATATGACCCATCCTTTCCTCTTCAGGAAAGCCATCACTGCAACCCAGCAGTGCTTGTGCCTCTCCTCCCCCAACACCCAGCAGACTGCTGACACCTTGCTGGCAGGGCCAGGCCTGGCTGCCAGAGAGGCTGGTGTTCTGTCATCCAGTGGAGGAAGGCAAGGTAGAAGGACCTGGGCATGGGTCTTGGCCAGTTTACAGGATCTGCCAATAAGGGACCCATAGACTATATATGGTATAGTCTCCCTGTTTCAAACTAGATGAGTAAATTAATACTGTACATATGCTACAGTTTTGTTTCATCGAGAGACTGAATGTGATAGGGGCTAATAGATGTGGGCATCTCATTTTGAGTTCTGTAGGTGGTTTATTGTCCTGGATGTCTGCAGATGGGAGCAAAACCCACCCGTGATCCTTATGCATAAGTGTCAACTATCTGTGGCACACACACACCTAGAGGCAAATTACGGGTCACAGATGGGTGTGCCTTGAACTTCACTAGTTATTGCCAAATTGCTTTCCCAAAGGGCTGCTCCAGTTTGCCCAATATCCGGCAATATAAGAGGTACCTTTTCCCCACATTATCGCTGCCAGTTGCTGCCAGTCTGAGCTCCGGCAGGTGTAAAATGTGTTGCTTCACAGTTTGCTTTCTCTTGATGACTTGTTGAGCATGTCTTCCTGTGAGTCCTGGTTTTTTAAATGTCCTCAGGACACTGGTTTTATATTTGCCTCTGTTTTCCTGATTTGGATGTATTCGGAATCCAATGATATGAAACAATCCAGTTTTATATAAGTTGCAAGTAATTTCTATCTATGATTTGTCATTTAACTTTGTGGTATTTTATTGTATGGAAGTTACATTTTAACACAGTGCTATGGTTTGGATGCCATTTGTCTTGAAATGTAATTGCAGATGGAACTGTTGGGGGTGGGGCCTAGTGGCAGGTTTCTGGGTCATGGGAGTGAACACCCCATGAATAGATGAATGCCCTCTTGAAGGAGTGAGTTCTTACTCTCTGCAAGAGCGGGTTGCCTTTGCACCTGCCCCCTCGCCTTTCTGCTTTTCCGCTGTGTCTTGAGATAGCACAAGGCCCTCACCAGAAGCTGAGCAGATGCCAACGCTATGCTCTTGGACTTTCCAGCCACTAGAACTGGGAGCTAAACAAACTTTTTCTGTATAAATTAGCCTTTGGTATTCTGTTTTAGCAACGCTGAACATACTAAGGCGGATAACTTCCTCCTCTTTCTGGCTTCTGCTGTTACTTTTAAAAGAAAAACTACCATACTCTGAGGATAAAAAATACTGTACTGTCTTAAATTTTGCTGTCTCCATTTAGGTCTATAAACCATCTGGAAATGTTTCTGCACAGGCATGGAGGGAGAGCCAATTGTACAGACGTACAGCTGCCTCCTTGTACTGTATTGAATGCTGCACCCTCGCGACTCCATCAGTGGTGTTCAAGCTTGTTTAGCAGCAATACTCTTCATCACTTGGCAGGAAATCAGTTCACCATTTGCTCCGTGGGAGACACAAAACAGTTTGAAGACCACTATTCCAAAGAAGGCTTTAGCACGGGTTGGTTTTTGGACAGCATAGCAGCTCTCTCCTGTTGATGGGACCCCAGATGGTGAATTCCTTCGGCAGCTGTACTGGGAACAGTTTGGAAGTCCTGGTTTACCTGCTCTGGGGACACCTAGACTATTCTGATGGACTGAGCATAGCAAAAGCCTTCCCCACACTGCCCCTCTCTTCCGCTACATGTTCTTAGACATGGGGCTAATTTCTCCTTTTTGACCAGCAGCCAAATTCTGTTCCAGGCCTCATTGGGCTCCGGTTCCAACAATCCAAACTTTGGACCTCAAAGGGAAAGATGAAGGTAAAGGGAAAGATGAAGGTGGGCCTGGAATAAATGTCACTTCCTCCATACGGCCTTTCTGGATTGTCTCCAGACTTGCACACCCACCCTCCTGTGCCACTGTAGCACTTCCACCCTGGCTGCAGTCCTCCTCCTGATGTGTGTTGTGGTCAGGTGCCTTTCCCTTTAAGAAGGGCCCCGGTCGGGCATGGTGGCTCAAGCCTGTAATCCCAGCACTTTGGGAGGCCAAGGTGGGCGGATCACGAGGTCAGGAGTTTGAGACCAGCCTGGCCAATGTGGTGAAACCTCATCTCTACCGAAAATACAAAAATTAGCCTGGCGTGGTGGTATGCACCACCCAGCTACTCGGGAGGCTGAGGCAGGAGAATCACTTGAACCCAGGAGGCGGAGGCTGCAGTGAGCCGAGATCACACCACTACACTCCAGCTTGGGCGACAGGCAAGACTCCATCTCAAAAAAAAAAAAAAAGAGTCCCTGGAGACAGACGGGACACTCTAGGCCTCCCCTCACCGCTTGGCAGAGTGCCTGGCCTTAGGCACCCTGTCAGCATGTGTGTGGACGAACTATGAATGAAGACATGAAGACAAAGCTAATTTCCGACCTTTTGGGCCAAGGGGCTGTCAGACACGCATACTTGGGGGGAAATCGGAAATGAAGTGGCTCATTAAGGCTGAAATTCCCTTTGCCCTATTGTCTTGGTTCTGGGCTGTCACCACCTTACAGTCACACATCTAGACTCCAGTGAGAATGGAGGTTTATTTCAACAGAAGGAAAGAAAAGGATACTAGTTATTTTACAATAGTGTTTTTCCTACAGACTAAACTTCTTACAAACTAAATTTAAAAGGGCTGGCATTCAGCACTAAGAAGACAGTTTACATCTTACGTTTGGACCACCTAGGACATTCCTTGGGGTGAAGCCAGAAGCCCGTGCTGACTACAGCTATCCAAGACTTCGAGTGTCTCCAGGGCTGCCCGCCTGACCCCGGGATCCGGGTCCAGCTGTAGTTCCTGGAGGGCTGAGAGGGAACACAAAGAGGGAAGGCTCAGGCCCCGCCCAGTCAGGACCACGTGCTGCATGCCCTTGGCAGTGATGGCAGGCAAGGGCTACAGAAGGTGGGCAGGGGCAGATGGGGAAGCTCCTGTGTGGGAAAGCAGAAGACTGCAGGTGGAGCTGTTTCCACACACATCGCAGCTCTCGGCTTCAGTGACCACCCTAACAGGGACAGAAATCACCCACAGAACCTGGTAGCAGCATCAGGGCAAAAACATTTCATAAGAAGCTATGAATGGGAGAAACAGCCCAGGGAATGAAAGGCACTGCACCCATCAATAGCTGTCGTCCTGGAAAGGCCTCCCCAGGTGCATCTCTCTGCCCTGGTAACACTCCGCCCCCCAAAACCCCACAGCAAAGGGTCCTCTGGCTCTTCCCTTGAAGCGGTTTCTCTAAGCTCCCCTAGTGAGTTGGTGAGTCGTGGACTCAACATCTAACACTCTCCACTACTTACAATTCCGTAATGCTGGGAAGTTCAGCTTCTTCAGATAGTGTGTAGACATCTGCTGCATAATAATTCCTAAAATGATAGCCAAAGAAATGCTCATCACGCAAGTATTAGGTCAGCAGGCAAGTTGTTCTGTGGTTTACTTGGTTTACGTTATGAGAACACTGATGAAAGATTTTGTTGAGTCCACATTGGCAAGGAGGAAGCCAAAATCAAAATGGGATAGAA